AAGCCCAATTCGCTCATGTATTGTGTTGGGCCTGCCTAAACAGGTCATCCTATCACTAACTGATAAATACTAGCATGCAAGTCTACAAGCTCATACAGTAGGCATATAAAGGCATCTCTCCTAACATTCTATCATGAAAATCCTGAGTAGATCCTTAGCCTTAACTAGCATGCGATTCGCAGATTCACAAATCAAATCATATCATAAAACATGTATGGGTATTTTGGGAAAACTTACTTGAGCTTGGTCATTTGCATGTACCACACCCTTTTTCTTTTATTAGAAAACCCCTTTTATACAACATTTCGTTTTGAAAAATCTACCATACTTTCCTCAAGAATCATCTCGGGTCCTCTAAGTAACCACCCTGTCCGCATCCGTCCTATCCATTCTTATACACCCGTTCTCAAATGAATACTCGTCGCTAAACAGCGTAGTCCAACCCACTACAACACTTCCTAGACTCTCCTAGGTTCCCGACCTCACCCTGCCATCAGCTTCTGAAGAACTCCCAATAATGTCAATTAACTACTCCGTGAATACAACCACATGCATCAAAGCTTAGATAATCCTTCGAGTGAAAGACTTATCCCTACAACGGTTAGACTCAAAAGAGAGTTGTGCAGTAGGGTCAAATCCGTCACTCTGAGAGTTTTTAACCTACGCCACATGTGACTTAACATATCCACTTAATAGTTAACTCAGGTCATCATGAGTCCCACAAAGTAGAAAGCAAGTACCATTCGTGCAGTAACACTCCAAGCCACATCCAAACAGAGGACATCTCAATCTCACTTCCTACCAAGAAAGATTTCAAATCTAGCATACCATCCAATTCCTCTTAGGCTACAAGGCATCACATATCAGGCCAATCCATCCACCAAACATTTCCGCAACTGAGAGACGTGAAACGCGTTATGGATCTAACTAAACAACTCGGGAAGATCCAAGCGATAAGCAACCCGGCCCACCCAGGCCAAAACCCTGAAAATGACCAATTTACTTGGGGCAACCACCACACTACTCCCCGTCATCAGCTGCATAAGGAACTCCCCCTAACATCCTCTAACTGGCTCACGAATACAATTACATATCGCCGTCACCAGATAATTCTTCGAATGAAAGGTCTCACACTACAACGGTTGGACTCAAACAAGAGTTGCTCAATAGAGTGAAAACCTAACCTTCTAAATCTCAACAATATGTAACTTAATATACTCGCTTACTAGTTATCTGAGGTTAATGGAAACTCCTAAAAGAATAAAGGAAGCAACATTCGAGCATCGGGTAATTGGAACAAGTATAACCTAAACAGGTCATCTGATCACTAACTGATCAATACTAGCATGCAAGTCTACAAGTTCATACAGTAGGCATATAAAGGCATCTCTCCTAACATTCTATCATGCAAATCCTGAGTAGATCCTTAGCCCTAATTAGCATGCGATTCACAAATTCACAAATAAAATCATATCATAAAACATGTATGGGTATTTTAGGAAAACTTACTTGAGCTTGGTCGATTGCATGCACCACACCCTTTTTTGTTTTATTAGAAAACCCCTTTTATAAAACATTTATTTTTGAAAAATCTACCAAACCCTCAGTTTGAGTTCAGACACACCCGAGATTATATGCCCAAACCCCTCAAACTAAGTCTCTGATACCAACTTGTAACGTCCCAAAAATAAGACCAAAAATTTTGATTTTTAAATTGATAAAACCATTATCTAAAACAACATCATGAAAACCATACTGAATCAGAGTGTATCAATAAACATTCAAGTACATGAGAGTAATACAAAAGGCAGAACAATATGGTGTGTGCTTTGCAAACATCTCGGGATCTTCCCTTTCGAACCAGAAGTACCCGAAACATAAATTGGTAACCGTAAACACAAAGCTAAGTTAGTCACCCAAGATACCACATACCATATATATAAAACATATAAAGGGCCCTGCCCCTCATCGATCCCCGTTCGACATCAAGCTCCGCTCAGTAAACATATATGTCAGTCATCTGGCACCGCCTGGCATCGGGCCCCGCCCGGTATACATATAAACATATAATCATACAAACACATGCGATAATCACAAAGATAATAGCATACATAATAGTCACCGGGCCCCCCGGTAAAACATATACACATAACATATGCAAGAGTCACGTAGACAACTAGCATACTAATATATCAAACCATGGGCCAGCATTGGTGCCTTCGACCCGCTAAACACAGTGAGGAAACTCACCTCACAGTTTGAAAGATTAGTTGCACCGATCACTGCTCTAAAATATGTCTCTACCGGTCACCAATACAACTAACAGGAACCCAAGTCTCAAACAATAATCAAATTACCCAAAATTCCCTTAGGTCAAACTTGGTCAACCATGGTTAAAGTCAAAGTCAACAATCAAGGTCCAAAAGTGAATATTTCTTCCCAGCGGAGTACGCCCTGCGTACCAAGAGAATACACCAGGGTACTCTGATGTTGACCAAAAGCGGGGCACTAACCGTGTACCTGCAGTGTACCACCAGGTATGCCCAGCGTACGCAGCCCATTCCCAAAACTCCATTAAGAGCTTATTCCATTAAGCCCTTATGTCAAAAACTCACATCCAAGCCCAAAATGATGTCCTAAGTCATAAAGTTCCCAACTTTATGACTTTGCATGGCTATAATGTGCTTAATGTCCAAAACCCTAAGTTCTTAACCCAATAAGACATCACAACTCTTGAATAGAAGGGATAGAAGGGCCAAGATCACATTTTTATGGTTCATAATAGCTCCATAATGGATAAAGTTTCCAACTTTATCCATTAAAATGGTCCCAACAAACAAGATCTAGTTTTTAAATCTCAAAGGGACCCAAAAGTGTATCTTTTTCAACCAAAATAATTAAGTCTATGTCTCCAACCTTCAAATCTGAATCAAAATGATGTTTAGATGGATAAAGTTTCCAACTTTATCCATAACAAGGTCACAAACTTTCAAGATCTAAACTTTATACACTTAAAAAGTGCCAAAAGCTCATAACACCCAAAACTAGATAGATCTAACAATTTCATCATCAAGATTCAAACTTTATACCTCTAGAAGAAAGATCAAAGTGAACGAAGTCTAGATCTACAAGCTCCAATGCAACCAACACTTCTTCAATGAGTTCCTTCTTCTCCGAGGTGCGCCAATAATCCTCCAAAGCACTTAAAAACACCTTCTTTTTGCTCACAAGGCTCAATCTAGGGTTAGGGTTTGAAGAGAGGGTGTTGGAGAGGTGGAGGCTAAGAATGGAATGGGTTTGGGGGAGTTAATGAGTTTAAATAGAGCTCAAACCATGAAAACAGGGTTTAGGCATTAATTGCGTACGTCTAGCATACTCAATTTACGCCCAACGTACTAGGGATGCCCTAGTACGCCCATCGTACATGTTTAGTACGCCCAACGTACGCGGCTCAACCCAAAACCGCCCTAACTTCAAACGGACATAACTTCTTCGTTTCAACTCCAATTTCGACGATCTTTATGTCCACAGAAAGGTGTTGAAAAGCTCTACAACCCTATCATCTCTCCTTTGCCTTAAAACATACCGAACTTAAATCCAAAATTCATAAAAAGCTCAAACTATCACTTAACGGTTATACCTTTGGGCTCCAAAGCACTAACCGAACTCTAGGATCACCTAATTTACATTACCCACGCTCAAAAGGGGGTCTAGATTTCTTTCCCAAAGACCCTAAGCCTTATGATAACTGGTCTTCGGGTTACCGCCCCGAATTATGAAACGATTCGAAACAGGGTGTTACAACTTGGTCAACCCTATGCCAACAACATGTCGTCGGTATAGCCTGACTTTTATCGATGACTTGTGTCGTCGGCACAAAGGTATTTTCTTGAAGTGTTTCTAGTTAACCACATAGATCTAGAAAATAATTTAATCATAATAGTGATTCTGATCACAATAGGTGAAAATGGTATGATCTTTATTTGATCGGTTCGCATATACCCACTACAAGAATTAAAGGCATTAGCGGCTACAATTATTATTCGTGGCGACTCTAACAATAGTCGTTGCTGATAGTGGTTGTCACCGCTATTAACGTCACCACTAATGTCTTTAGACCACGATCCGCCTTAAGATGATACGGTAAGCCCTATCCGATGACTAGGCTAAGTTTTAGTGGCGAGTTTTGTCGCCGCTTATAAACTCTTTTCTTGTAGTGATCATAAGCCAACCAATCCTATAATTAATTTCATTATGCTTAATTCATGATTTAACTAAAATATAATAATACAATCTAGTTCTACTCGATATACAAGTTATATCTTAGAGGGTGTTTGTCTGATCATCTAAAAATGACATTTAAGGTATTCAATAAACCAAAAAAAAGTGTTTGGATATAGAAAAATACATTTTAAAACAACTTTTTGTTTAGTCTTTGAAAAAAAGATTTCAAAAAGTCATAATTTTAACTTTTTGAAGATTCTTATGAGTTGTTACTTATTAGGTTTACAAATAGATAAAAGATAAAATTATACCAAACATTTTTTAACTTATTCATTTTTTAACTTTTGCAACTATAAAACTAATCCAAACATTTAAAAAAATTATTTTTCTATATTCATAAGTCAATAAACACTTTTTAAAAAAATCATTTCTCACATTTATATAACACGTCCACTTAATTAACAAATAACACAGCATAGAAACTTTTTACATTAGCAAACAAAACGAATGACACGAACATACTATTTTCACATTCATATATAAAAGACGTTTTACATCGATATTATATGAATATTTAAGCTAATAAAACCAGCTAGAAACAACAATAAAAAACTGAATCTTAAACACGAGCTATGATAAGATTCATACATTAAAAACAATATAATACATATGATAGAAGTACTCACTAACATAAGGTTTGTGAGTTAGATATATATAGCAGACACTCATGAATCAAAGTAAATACTCTAGTAATTAATCAAGATTGATCAATGTGATCATTCACGCTCAAAGGGTCCATTGGGGTCGACTTGCTTACACAACCCTAAATACGTCAAGAACAGAACCCTATCTTTGGCCCCGGTCCGATGATTCTTGGTATGCTTACAGAAGTACTTCAACTGCTCCAAAGTACAACACCCAAGCATCTGTCCAAGAAGCAAGAACAGCCAGTTAATCTCTTTCTTCTTCTCTGCCATCACTGGCTTCATAACATTATCTTGACCACAGTGATTGCACTTTGGTAGAACCGGATTCATCCATGTCGCCGGAGCTCTTTCACGGAACTTATATTTGTTCTCCGCAACATAACATGCAATGTCATGAAACTTTTGTTTCAGATCGTATTCGATCTTGTACTGCCTATCACATCGCTTGCAGTGCACGTCGCCAGAGATGACGTTGATACCGGCGTCCGTCAGGTGTTTGATGCTGTGGACAGTGGCACGGTGGTTGGTTGCCCATGGAAACGGCGGCGGGATAGTTGGCGATTTACCATGACGTGGAGCTTGCCTTCCATTTCTACGGGAGCGAGGTGCAGCGGCTGGTGGAACTACCGGCAGCGGCAGTGAAATAGTGTAGTTTAGTGGGTCGATTTCAAGGTGAGAAGTAGCTGGTGTTGCCTCCATTGATATAGCTTTAGAAGAACATTTGAAACCCCTAGCAGATGGATCGATTTCAAGGCGGGAAGTAGCTGGTGTTGCCTCCATTGATATAGCTTTCGAAGAACATTTGAAAACCCTAGCAGCAGATGGATCGATTTCAAGTCGGGAAGTAGCTGGTGTGGCCTCCATGATATTGCTTTAGAACATGCATTTGAAAACCCTACTAGATTAAATAGGAACAAATGAGAAAAATTAGGGATTATATACACATATTTCAAATTTCAAATTATTTATCTTTATCTCTATCTTCTTATGTTTTTTTTTTTTTTTTTTAATTAAAATCTAACTAATCTAGATATGTTTTATTTAAATGGTTTAATTACAAAATTTTTGAAACCTAGCTAAGAAATTCCAGATTTTAATATTAGATAATCTAATTTTAATGCTACAACTTATATCATATTATACAATTCAAGTTCAGAAATTACTTTTCTTACTTTTGGAACATTATGTTTTACTTCGTCCACGTTAAAAAGACCAACTGATGGAAGCTTCATATTTAAAATTTTACCTTTATATATTTTCATATGGGTATGAATTCGATGAGTCAAGACCGTGAAGAATTACCACATATCAATTAATTAATGCAATACAATGCATGTTTCTGTTGTTTCGGAATTCCAGTTGTGTCCAATGTCTAATATTCACGACGATGTTCAAAATGGACACACTGAATTCACATTGAATCGTGTCAAACTCAACATTAATATTATTTATTACTAATGATCCCAATATATATTACATACCATGCATAATTAGAGCGTTTCCGGCAAAACTAACGGGTAGCGAGTAACGAATAACGGGTACACTATAAGAATAACCACCATAAGCGGCGACAACCACCTTTAGCGGCGACATATATAACTTTTGCGTTATATGTCGCCACTAAAAGCGTCGCCGCTAAGGCTATGTGGAGTGGTCACCATCAACCCACCGGAAAAGTGGTGCCACCTCTACGCCACGTCACCTTCACCACCAACCCACTCCACATAGGAAATGGTCACCACTAACAACATTCACTTTTTTATTTATTTTTATTTTTTTAACATTATATTAAATAAATAACATAATTTATAAAATATATAACTTTTTTTATTTTTTGTAACACTATATGAAGAAAAAAAAACATAATTTATAAGATAAATAAATGTTTTGAGAACAAAAAAAAAACACATTTCATTAATTAAAAACATAGAAATTTATAACCTAAATTACTAAAATACACCTAACCAATAACACACTTAATTAATTAAAAAACAAAAAAAAAAGTAAAACATAAAAACCGTAGACAAATACTACTCGTCGTCATCGTCATCATCATCCTCATCCGCCTCGTCGTCACCGTCTGCATTCTCGTCGTAATCATCGCCCTCATCCTCTTCGTCCCCATCGTCATTTCTCCCTTGGAGTTGTCTCCCCCATATGTGCTCGGTCAAATCGTGCCGTAGATTGTGATGTGTCTCATGATTTTGTATTTCCAAAACCCTAGAGAAGTATGCCGGGCTGCCAACTTGTATTACTGCAGGTGGGTTAAGTACATCGTTCCCGGTATATGAACAAATAGCTCTGCCCTCTTCTTCTATTATCATGTTATGTAAAATCACACAAGCAGTCAACACCGTCGTTAGTTTTGCCCTATCCCATGTTCGTGCTGGATGCTTGATTATGTGTAACCTTTGTTTTAGGACTCCAAACGCTCTTTCGACGTCCTTCCGTGCAGATTCCTGTGCTAACTTGAACAATTTTCGTTTCTCATCCGCTGGAAACGAAAAAGACTTAACAAATGTAGCATACTCTGGATATATGTCATCACCTAGGTAATATCCATACTTGTATTCATTTCCATTCACAACGTATGACATATCTGGTGCTTTACCCTGCAAAATATCGTTAAATAACGGAGACGCGTGAAGCACATTCAGGTCATTGTTTGACCCCGCCATACCAAAGAATGCATGCCAAAACCATAGGTCGTTTGAAACAACCGCCTCCAGTATAACAGTCGGGACCCCATGATCTCCTCGCGTGAATTGACCATGCCACGCATTGGGACAATTTGCCCACTCCCAATGTGTACAATCAATACTACCAAGCATCCCTGGAAAACCATGTTTAGCTTCATGCGCGGCATACAACTGCTTGACATCACTTTTAGTCGGATGTCGCAAGTATATGTCACGGTAAAGCTCTATAACATACTCACAGAAAAGATATGTACAATCTCGACCCGTCCTCTCAGACATTTTCAAATACTCATCTGATGCGTCTGCGGTTATACCATATCCCAATTGTCTAAGAGCGGCCGTACATTTTTGTATTGTGGTAAAACCACGTTTACCTCTAGCATCCCATCGTTATTGGAAAAACTCATAATTACGTTCCAAATCTGAAGCTATACGTAAAAATAAATTTCTACTAATACGAAAACGTTCTTCGAATTTCGATAGGTCATAAAGACTATTAGTGGCAAAATAATCACGTACCAAAAGTTCATGTGCCGCCTCTCGATCCCGATTGATATATTTTCTATGTTTCTTCTCACGGTGTGAAGTTTCGCCTCTCTCACGAATCACGTCTTGTGCCGCAGACAATAGTGTGTGCAACACCAAATCGTCATCAGAACCGCTATCCATTTTTTGTTGAATTTGTATGTTTGATTTGAGAGAATTTGTATGTTTGTTTTGAAAAAATTATGTAAAAGTGGATGGATATATAGAGAGAAAGGAAATTAAAGAAAAAAAGTTTTTTTTATTTAGTAACCCAGCCAACGGTCCAAATTAAAGGACCAATCAATGTACGCGTCTTCGTCCGTCCTGGGAGCCACGCCACCACCAACCCACTGAAGCCAAGGGCGGTGTTCACGCGTGGAGAGAGCCTCCACGTAAGCATTTCACGCGTGGAGCTCCCTCCACTCCGGACAGCCTAATGGTGGTTAACCCCGATCTGTGTCAATCCCTAATATTAAACCCCAGTCGTTGATATTCTTCCTAATCCAATACCTGGCAATACACGTCGTACATCACAATAGCGGCGACGACTGTCGCCGCTGATGCTCGAAAAAAAAACCGCGAGATATTCCCTCTCAAACGTGTCACTGCTAATTCAACCGTTTCGCCGCTAATACATGTCGCCTCTAATGGCTTGACAAGATATACACAGCGATCACAGCTGATTCCTTTTCCTCTTCCGCTTTCAGTTTCTATGTCGATTCCACGGCGAATACCAAATCCTTCCGTCGATTTCGTTGGCTTTTACTCCCATTTCGTCAATTCTGTCGAGCGTTCACATCATCGACAAATAGTAAACGTATTACCAGCGACGGGGAAGCAGAACCGGCGACCACATATGCGTTTTCTTTTCCTTTTCTATCGATTTCATTTTCTTTTTCTTCTCCCAGTGACTTACGAGTCGGACTATTGGAGCCCTTTGTCAGAATTGCTAGACTTGTTGGCTTTTCTTGTTTTCTGCCCGAATTTGGCCGGAAAGCTGCAAGAATACCGCCACCACCACCCCTTCTCCGCCACATTACACAACCAGGTTCCTTTAAAATCTATGTATGTGTGTGTGTATGTGTGTGTGTGTATATATATATATATATATATATATATATATATATATATATATATATATATATATATATATATATATATATATATATGTGTGTGTGTGTGTGTGGGGGGGGGGAGGGGTGTTGTAACGCCCCGATTCTCAGTTATTGATTCATGTTATAAATTTTCATGATTTCAAGGTCTACTCGACGAGTTGGGTGCCCTGACTCGTTGAGTAGTAGCGGGTTGGTCCACGTGTTTAAGTGACCTACTCGCCGAGTCCAGGAAGGGACTCGACGAGTAAGAGCTAGAGGATGAAACCCTAATTTCCGGGGTTTTGCACCCTATTTAAAGGATCATTTGCCTCCTTTAGCCCCCTTACAGCCTCTTGAGAATCCAACAAACCCTAATTCGTGTGTGTGCTCCATTTGTGTGTTTTAAGCTTTGGAAGAGGATTCTTGATGAGAAGAACTTGGAGAACAAGTGTCTAGAAGCAACGAACGGGTGGGGATCTGTTATCTACCTCAGTTAGCATCTTTTGGAAGGTATCAAGTCGTTATCTTGACCTCATTTCATTCTAGATCTCACTTGGTTAAAGATTAGGGCTTTTCTAGCATAATAAGAAGCTATTCTTGGGTATGAGCTAAGATCTGAAGTTGTAACTTCAGATCTGAACTCTCTTTGGTCTCTAAGTCCATAAAGCTTTCAGCTTTAGCAAGTGTGAACCTTTCCTCAAGTGTAAAACTCCATTTCAAGCTTGGTTTTGTCATTATAAGACCTTAGAGCCTTGCATGCACGTAAAGTTTGCAACTTTACGTGATAACCATGCCTTGGGAAGCTGGATCTGCAATATGGAACCTTAAGATGGCTTAATAAGCATCTGTATGGATTTGGAATGAAGGGACTCGGCGAGTCCGATGAAGATTGTCGTGGGCTTGGCAAGTCAGTAGAGTGACTCGGCGAGTCAGCTAGGGTTTTCCCGACCTTTGGACATGCATGAACTCGGCGAGTTGCAGGGAAACTCGACGAGTTGGCCAAGGAGTTTTCAGCCGCAAACATTAGGAACTCGACGAGTCACTCAAGTGACTCGGCGAGTTGGCAAGTTATGCAAGGCGGCGAGTGGCTGGTTATACTCGACGTATTGAGGTCAATATGGACTGTTAACCTTGACCGTTGACTTTGACTTTGACCAAGGGTTGACTAATTGACTTCTGGGGCATTTTGGGAAATTGGAATTTTATAAGTATGGATCATTGGTGGTTATAGGTGTTGGAGTTTGGGGCAGTGTTTCGGGAGCGCGATTTCGTGGTTCAGTTCGGCATTGCAAGGTGAGTTATCCTCACTATATCAATAGGGTCTAAGGCACCAATGCCGGCCCTTATCGGATTTGTATCCGGGTTTATTGCATGATATGCTTTTATTGATTTACGTTCCGATAGTTAGGATGATGATATGCTTATGCTCAGTGACCTGGTTAGGTCGGTGTCCTGGTTATAGAATGAGACTATGTTAGTGACCGGTTAGTTCTGTATCCCGGTTATTGTGATGTTGCTATGATTAGTGATCTGTTAGATGAGTTTA